GTGAATAAAGTGATTTAGAAGTATTTTTATTTAACAAGTGAATGGGTAGTTTGGAGCTTTTAAAAATTTTGTTACACAAATAAAAAAAAGTAAGGGAGGTAAGTGATATTTTAAAACCTTAAGGGTGCCAGGTGATATTAAGAGAGATCTTGGAGGAGGTTTCTGATATAATACTAACCAATTATAATTTTGCTCTCCTACAATGCTTTGCCTAACCATTCTGCCAAGGAACGTATTGATGCCGACCAACCATTTCCTGAAGAAAAGTTTGAATACCAGCCTGAACACCTGGACATGACCGCTGACATTTTTTTGGCCTTTTGATGATGGCAACCCCTCACTCAGCCAGCAGCCCAGCAATTTCAAAAAAAATAAAATAAAATAAAAAATTCATAAGCTGCCAGGGATAGTTTAATACCTTTTCCATGTCATATCAATATTTGCACGATTTTTTTTTAAAGAAGATGTTAGGGAGTAGCTTTCTCCAAGATTATTCTATGAAATAATTTATTGCAATGCACTATCTGTTTTCTACTGAGAAGTAATAAATAAATCAATTTTCATTCTGGCAAAAGAAGGAAATTCAATGTTCATTGGTAGGGTGCAAGAAACTGATTACAGCCTGAACAGGGCCTAAATTACAAGCAAGGGCCTCACTTATACCGTCTTCCCTGCACAATTCAACCTATCTCTCCTTCTAAAAATTTTGGACTCAAATTCTCATTTTACAATAAAAAAATTATGATGAGTTACTTATACTTTGATATAGTTACGTAAGTGCATTGAAGGCATTAATCGAATTAAATTAAGCAAAAAATCTGAATGGCTCTCAAAATATATAGTTGATCAACTTTTAACCTCCAATTATTAAATACATACAATTATCCCCCAAACTTGTAAAATGGGTATATTTTTTTACATTTTTGGCTAGAGATAATGTCAGAAACCTCTCCCAAGATTTGTGGTAATATCACTCGACACTCTTGAAATTTTAAAAATATCACTTAACTTTTATATCAATGAGATGGTACTATTAATCACTATCATACGATACAAAATTAATAAACTGTCTTCACTACTTTAACAATATTTAGGCAAAACATTATAGAAGAGAAATTTTTTAGGCAAAACATGTAAATCTTATATTATAGCCAACTTAGTAAAAATTTGAATATAAGACAATACAAAAGGATAGAATTGGGAGAAAAATATATCTCTCTCGCTAAAGAGAGGTATCTCTAGCCAAAAGGGTAAGGATATACCATTTTACAAGTTTGAGGGTGCAAAGGGATGCACTTAATAGTTGGAGGGTTAAAAGTTGACCAACTTAATATTTGAAGACCATCCAAATTTGTTACCCAATTAAATTATACTTACAAATCACATAGATATGGATTTATAATCCTCAGACTTTTAACTCCTTGTATTAATAAAATAATTTATATTTTTATAAAATAAAATAAAAATTTAGTTGATTAAATGAATGTTTCTTTGAATCGTAAGTACATTCAACAGATTAATAAATTTATTAATTTATTGGTTAATTAATACCTCTTTAAATTAATAAAATTTTCATGGTCCCAAAATTATTAATTTATAAAAGTTTTACTTTACATCTAAATCCGCTAGTGCTGGTGCTCGTATTTTATATTTAAAACTTATCATCAGTTTTGAATTATATATTACAGAATACAAAAGTATGTTGAAGTAAATGCTAAAAATCATATTTTTTCTATCTTAAATGCAATATTTTAGTTTGAAGACATACATTTTAATAATTTAAAGAGAAAATGAAACACATTTAGGATCTGTTAGCTTAATTATATCGAGAGAGAGAGAGAGATAAAAAAAAATCAAGAATCGCGTTCAAAACAAAAAAAAAATATTTGTTGTGCCACAATTTTTTTTCCCTTTATATTAAGTATTGAAAGAGAGGATAGAATTTCCAAAAAGACAGCATTTTTGGGTCAATACGAGTGAAAGGCAACCTACAGTCTACACCGATATGCAGATGTTACCATCCATCGTACCTGTTCTCCAGAGGTTTGCAAGCTGATGCTGCAAGAGTAGCTAATGGAGGTTGATACCTTATTGGTGATTTATGGTTTGCAATTCTTCTAGTGGCATTTTAATGGACATGAAGTTCTAGTTTTTGTTGTTTATTGTATTATTTTGGTTCAACTACAGAAATAGATGGAGCAGGGCCCCTTGTAGAATACTAACGAAGAAATGCCTCTGGTGAACTTGTGGATGGAGATATTTGCTAGGTTGGTTAACGGAATTACCACTCTATGATTTAATTCCTTTGAAGGTAATAGAGTGCATAATGATTAGTAGTTTTAACACAAGGCAAGGATTTTAAGAATAGTAATCCTATCGCTTGTACTCTTGTTAAGTTTGTTGCATCTACACTTGTTGAGCTACTCTCCTTTCAAAAGATTTTTTCTGGTTTGCTTGTAACAATATGGCAAACTAGAAATGATATCTTAGCTTGCTGATATCATGTGTAAATGTGCTGGATTTTTCAGACGTGCTAGCTACAGATAATTTTAACACTTAATAGATGTTAGGTAAAATTTTTGCTACTTGTATTTCTCTTTCGTGGCCTTGTTTGGATTGGAATTTTCTATCAGAAAATTTTTATATTTTTTGTAACTATATTTTTCAATCAACCTTTTACTTCACATACATCAAATAACAATAATACATTTTTTTATATAAAAAAAATTTCTAAAAATAGCCATCCAAACAGCTGTAGCTGTAGCTTTCAAAAGTGAATAGGTTTTAAAAGAGAGAAATTTTGGATGATGTTTAAGCAAATCATTTCTATACTATGTGAGAAGTGTATGGTCAGAGTCATCTATGTTGTCTTTTAAAAGTTAAACACCTTCTGAAATGGATTTGTAGTTTGGCGCTTTGAGAGAACTTCAGAGACTCTACGACCAGCTGGTTGAAAATGCTGATGCTTGCCAGCTTGATTGATATGCGGCATATGAGAAACAGGAAGGTAAAGTTTATTGAACTCTCTACCATCCATCTATCTGTCATGAGTAGTACTTGTAGCTTCGTCCTTTCATATAGTTTGGGGATAATTTCAAAAACTTCCCTAGAGGTTTTTAATAGTCTCACTCCCTTCTCTTGAGGTTTTAAAAATATTAGAGGCCTCCCCTGGTAGAATATTGAATCCCAAATTTTACATCATCATTGGTGAAATGACTCAGGTACCCGCATAACTTAGTAGATATTTCGCAATTATCTGGACAAATTTACTTAAGTTAATTATAAATACGATTAATGTAATTAACAATAATTTAAAAGTGCAATCTGGATTTATTCTTCCCTTTGTATTGCTAAATGTTTTCCTTCTCTTTGGTCGCTCACCTCTTCCTCTTCAGAACCTTCATACTATTAAAAGAATCTATAATTTGCGCATCAAAAGTACAGCTTGTGTGGATTCTGTTCACTCTCGAAAATTTTAATTCTTGCTTTGCGATTATTTCGGCAATATCTGTTTCTAATTGTAAATGATGTAGGTGAATTCCAAAATTGACCTCTGTTGCTTGAACTAGCTATTTATGTGTGTGTTTGTTACTGTTGCAGTTGCTTACTTCATTTGCTGCAATTACTTTTAGCTCATCCAACACTAAGTACTTTAATTGCATAAAGGCTTATACATAGAGTGCTATCTTGCTGCTTCATTTTTGCTCTTGTAAATAGTTTGCTGAAATGGCTTGTGTACTGTTCAAATGAAATTATCTCACTAACGCAAGATTTGAGGGCATTTGTGGTATTAGGTTGTTTTCTCTCTTCAACTCCCAATTTTTTAATGTTTCTCCTTTTGAATTGGGTTGGATTTGATACTACCTATTTAGTTTTAGGGGAAGTCTTTGATATATTGAAAACTTTAGGGGAGGATAGTGAGATTATCAGAAATCTCAAGGGAGGTTCTTGAAATTATCCCTATAGTTTGTCACAAAAGATTTTCAAGCCAAGTTCTCATATAATTCGTTCTTCAAGTTGCTTTAAGCATTTTATGGATCTTTGGTCCATTTCAGGAGTAGATGGTGGTGGTAGCCAGCTTTTTCTTCCAGATTCCTGATCGTGACATTTTTTTTTCAACCTTTAGCATGGGATCGGTAGTCATCAGTTTTTTTAATTTCAGCTGTGCAGTCTGGCAGTTCAACTTTAAAAAAAAATAAAAAAAAAATTCCATATCAGCAATAAACAATGGAATTAGCCATTATATCCAAGAATTACTAGAAGGCCTTATCTGTCTTGGAATAGGATAATCTTTTCTCCTCGGAATATATTAGCATCCACGAGGATCATTAGTAGATAACAAGTGAACGGGTTTTACCTATTAAGTGTGTCTAGGAAGACATGAAAAAACATTAGTCATCTTTAGTCCTAACTCAATTACTTCCACTTCTTTGTTAAAGTTCTGACCATGCAACTGGAAATCAATTCGGAACAAGGTGAATGATGCAAAATATTGAACATATGGATTGATTAACTTGTTTATTTAATTGAAACCGTGCATCTTTTGTCCATGAACAGTTTCTTTTTTCTTTTCCTTGAGGTGCAGTACATCAATGCATTTGCTTTCAGCAAAGATCAGATGAGCATGTGCATTTTCTATTTATTGAAAAAAAATATGAATTGTGTTTGGATAGTAAATTATTTAATTGTCTTGATGTTATATATATAAAATAAAAAGGTAATTAGAAATTTGTTAATGACGCAAATAAATAAAATTTGTCAGATAATCTTCCACTAATCATAAATATTTGGAGGTTGACGCAACCGCTGAAATATTTTTTTTCCATTTCAATCTCCGTTTTAAATAGTTAAGCATAAATTATCTAAACTGACCAATTACGTCCTCCATCTAGAAAATACAATTTAATTCATGTGGTACAGATGTTAATAACTGAGCAAGATTAGTATCCTTGTGGGCTCTCAAAATATCCACTGATTCGGTGGCCTTTTGTAAAGAGCCAATTGTGATGACACAATTTTCAAACCGCTAATTACTGTACATTCCACACCTACCTCCTTGAGAAAGAACAAACGAGACTGTGTACTTCTGTGTAATTGGAAAAGAACTTAGCGGTTCTCCCATCATCCCACGGGGAAATTGAACTACGGGGAAGTGCGTGTGAGGAAAGAGGCTGCATAAAACCATGGGTTCCGCTTCAAATACCAGGCTTCCGGTCATAAATTTGACGGAGGAAATCCTAAGATCTGGAAGAGATTCTTGGACTGAAGCGGGAAACACAATCACACGGGCATTTGAAGAGTATGGCTGTTTCATAGCTGTTCATGATAAGTATCCTTCAGAGGTTAGTGATTCCATATTCTCTGAGCTGCAAGATTTGTTTAACCTCCCGTTGGAGATTAAAGTCCAAAACACTTCTCAAACTCCCCTCTTTGGTTATTATGGGCCAAATCCCTACCTGCCCCTCTACGAAAGCACGAGCATTGAAGATGCAATAAATCTCGAAGCAGTCCAGAAGTTCACAAATCAGATGTGGCCCTCCAAAAATAACCATTTCTGGTAAACCTGTTTCCATTAATATGCAATTCTTCTTATCGTTTATTGCTACTATGCATTATTCATATCCGAAGTGCTTACATTTTTTTTCTTTTTTTTGAATATCCTGTTTCCATGACTAGTGAACTGTTGCACTGCTATGCAAATCAAGTAGCAGAATTAGATAAAATGGTGAGCAAATTGGTGTTTGAAAGTTATGATGTGGAGAAGTACCACGAATCTCATGTGGGATCAGTGACTTATATTGTTAGATTCACAAAGTACAGGGTACCCGAACAGAATGAGACGAATGTCGGTGTTCTTCCTCATACTGACAAGAACTTCATAACCATACTTCAACAGAATGATGCCAGGGGTTTAGAAGTTCAGTTGAAGAATGGAAGCTGGATTCCTGTTGATTTTCCTCCTTCCTCCGTAGTAATCATGGCTGGAGACGCATTCTCGGTGAGATATTTTCTTTTTTTGTCATTAAATCTGCGAGCCTGAATCATATTAAACTTAGTTACAACATTGCAATCTGGCACAATTAGAAAACTGCATTCAATAATGGCTTCGCCATACATTATCTAAGTTGGATGTGTTATGGTCAATTTAAAACGAGAAGGAAAAAGGCCTCGCAGATGTTTCTTCCTAAATCATCTAGAATGTTGGCATGGCAACTTTCGGTATTTTTGTTGTAAATACTGACTTCTCTAGGGGATATTAATACATTGATTGTATATATTTATGAAACGCAGGTGTGGAGCAACGGTAGAGTGCATTCCCCATTTCATAGAGTAACTATGAAGGGAAAAGGAAGGTATTCGATTGCACAGTTTGCCTATTGCAAGAAATTGGTAGAGACACCAACAGAGCTGGTTGACGAGGAGCACCCCTTATTATATAAGCCATTCGACAATTTTGGTTTTCTACGATTCACAAGCACGGATGAGGGTCGGAAAGCTCAAAATCCACTGAAGGCCTATTGTGGCGTCTAAAACACCAGACGCATCGATTTTTAAAATTCTGACCATGCAACTGGAAATCAATCCGAACATGATGGATGGAATAAATGGATTGATTAACTTGTTTATTTACTAGAAGTCGTGCACCTTTTGGCCATTAACAATTTCTTCTGTTTTTTTTTTTTCCCTGAAGAGCGGTGCATCAGGGCATTTGCTTTCGGCAAAGCTCAGATGAGCATTTTGCATTTTCTATTTATTGAAAAAAAAAAATATGAATTGTGTTTGGATAGTAAATTATCCATTAATACTGTTTGTTTGAATGAGATGTATATGAAATAAAAATGTAGTTAGAAAATATGTTCATGATGCAATTAAATAAAGTTTGGCAAATAATCTACCACCAATCAAAAGTATTTGGAGGTTGATGCAACTGATGAGATATTTTTTTCCATCTCAATCTCAGTTACTTCCTTCAACTAGAAAATACAACTTAATCTGGAGATGCAGATGTTAATCACTAAGCGAGATTAGTATCCTCGTGGGCTCTCAAAATAAGATCTACTTATTCTGTGGCCTAAAGTGAAAAGCCCATTGTGACGAGACAATTATCAAACTGCTGATTAATGTGCATTGCACGCCTATCTCATGTCTTTCGCGAAGCTAAAAGATGGGCGGACCTTTTTGGCAAAAATGGGCACCGAAGAATTTGTTCTGTACCCCACCCCCCATGTGCCCTTAATTAGTCTTTTGGATGCTAATTGTAGGGGTCTCTTCTTGACCCGTCTTGTAATCGCTTAATCTTTATTATTGTCTATCTCTTTTCCTACAAAAAAAAAAAAGAAAAGAAAAAGGATCCTATCAAAAAGCTCCCTCAAAGTTTCTAATAATTACATTTTAATGCCCTCTAATATAGAAAATTACACTGCTCTCCTTTTTTAGGTAGATGTGACCGAATGTGCCATCGATAGCTTCCAAATGACCAAGGGTGTTTTATGGGAGATTAGTGATGTTACGAAGGGTGAGATTATTAAAAAGTATAGTTTTATGGGAATAAGGTGAATGATGCAAAATCTTGAACAAATGGATTGATTAACTTGTTTAGTTAATTGAAGTCATTTGCACCTTTTGTCCATTAACAATTTCATTTTTTTTTTCTTTTTCCCTAAGGCGCGGTGCATCAAGGCAATTTGCTTTCAGCAAAGCTCAGATGAGCATCGTGCATGTTCTATTTATCGAAAAAAATATTTGGGATAATTTTCTAAAAAATACTACAACGCTATTTTTATGTAATATATATGAAATAAAAAAATATGTTCGCGATACAAATAAATAAAATTTGGTAAATAATCTACTGCCCAATCAAAAGGATTTGGATGTTGATGCAACTGATGAGATTTTTTTTTTCCCATTTCAATCTCGGTTGGACGTAGTTCAGCATAAATTATCTAAACTGACCAATTACTTCCTCCAACTAGACAATACAACTTAATCATGTGATACACATGTTAATCACTAAGCAAAATTTAGCATACTTGAGGGCCGTCAAAATATCTGCTGATTCGGTGGCCTTTTGTAAAAAGCCAATTGTGATGCGACAATTGTCACACTGCCAATTAATGTACATTCCACATCTACCTCCTTGAAATTGCACACCCAGCCTGATTCGAGCTGAACGTATCACAAATGTACTAAGTACTGTGTAATTGGAAAAGACTTAGCTGTAGCCCGTCCCACGGGTCCGTCTACGGTGGCAAGTTCACTTTTCTGCCCTTGGCAGCAGAACAATGCAAGGAGGCCAACTGTGTTATGCGGAGAGGCACAAAACAGCAAAATGATGCACTGGGCACCGGAGAAAGCCGATTTTGAGCGGATGAAATATGCAATACACTTTAAATTACAATAAAACTCCTCTTAAAAATGTGTTCATCATCTAATGCCCAGTACTTAGAAAATATTTTGTGAACACTCTAGTCGAAATGTGGATCCCAATGAAAGGAGAAGAGCGAAAAAGTGAATGTTAAAGAAATGTGCAAAAAAAACACGAAAAGGTAGACAATATTGTTGTAATAAAAAATTGAAAAAAGTTTCAACATTAGTTAGTAAATTTTATGTATATCAATTATTGTCAAAGCAAATGTTGTAGTAGTTTTTCTTTTTTAATTGAGTTTGGTATTTGAAATAATTGAAGCGTAACTATAAAAGAAAAGTTGGGAACTCAACATGATTAAAAAAAAGGAAGATGTACAATTTTGGTCCCTTAATGTTTGGTCTATGAGTTAAATTAGTCCTTAATATTTCGACTAACATAAATATGGTCCCAAAATTTTTTATTTTAGGCAAATTTAGGACAAACTAATAGAAAATTAAAATATCTAACGGTCAAAAATCAAATTAGAATTATATTTTTTGGTCCCTAATAATTGAAAATTTAATCAATACGATCCCTTATATTTTAAATAATTATATTTCAAATGAAATAAAATGTGAATTAGATTAAATGCATAATAAATGTGTTCTCAAATCTCATAAAAATCCTTTAAAAGTACTCCACAATGTCAAAATACTATTATTTATTCTAAAGAGCATCTCTTCGTTAAATTAAATACAAACAAATGACAACACATGAATCATATATTAAAAAATTAGTGCAAAAAAAGAGAATTTTAATTTGGTATATAGTAACTTTCATTCTAAACAGTATATCACAAATTGTTACGTAGTTAGACATTATGATTACATTAACAAGTAAAGGTGATTACCAACATGAAGGATTCATATGTATTTTTTTAAAAATTTCTTGTTGTTTCTTGTTGTATTTCCTTCATATTAAACCAAATATTTCAATAATACAATTTAGTGTATTTATATTTACGTTCATCTAAAATTTATACTTTTGTTAAATAATTTAAACAATTATAAAATTTTTATTTCAATTGAAACTTAATTAATGGCTAGTTGAAACAACAAAAAAAAAGAAAAATATTATTGAATCAACTCAATGACATGTGATTGTTCATATTATAATATAATATTTAATTAACTATTTTAATCTATCAAATATCAGTATTGGACATTAGATGATGAACAAATTTTTAAGAGAGCTATTATTGTGATTCCAAAGTGTATTGTATTATTTCAGTCACGCACAACCGGCTTTCTTTAGCGCCCGGTACATCTTTTTTTTTTTTGCTGTTTGTCTTCGTGCGTCTCGACAGAATACAGTTGGCCTCCTTGGATTGCTTCTGCCCATCGTGGGCAACTTTCCACCGTAGACGTGCCCGTAGTCCCACATAGAACTGATCAGCACTATGTAATTAATGTCCACCCGTCTCATTGAAAAAGACAGAGTGAGATCTGCGTCTGACAAAAGTACACTAATAGTTAATGTACACTACCTCCTGCAAAAGAAAATAATTGATGAGACCTGCCTCGAATTGACGTCTGACATGTATTAATCCCAATTGCTATCTAACTTTTAATTTTGCAATCGATTTTGTCCTTTTGTTTCTTCTGCATTTTCCAGTGCTGCAATTGTTATCTGACTTTATTAACAAAAATATTAATTTATCGATTTCATTTATTAACTTCCTTCAAAATATAATTCTCACAAAAATCTCAATTTCCTAACTTCATATTAACGTGTCTTTCTTCAAAATATAATTCCCTTTGCTCTTTTATATTTATTAACTTTCTCCAAAATATATATATTAACAAAGATATTGATTTCTAAAAAATATGCGAATCGATAAAAATTCTGTGTGCATCTAATATATACAGAACAGTACAAATTCTATATGTTACGTTATGCTACTTCATATTAACAGATAATGAGTGTTATTCGAGTCTGCTAATTGTAATTTAAATTTCCCTTACACATAAGTCCATGTGCTATTCGTTGATTTAAAATAAGATATTGATTAATCAATAAATAAATTACTTCATCATTAAATAGATATTTATTCATGTATGCTATTCAATCAAGCATTATTAATTTTCGATATCAATGAACTAACAGACTCTTCGAAATTGTGTTATCTTTAGATTTTAGAATCTTATTAATTTTCAAAAAATTAATGCAAGTATTAAATTTTGTGTGCATCTAATAAATATAAATCAATTGTGCCGCTTTGTATTTGCTTGCATTAATACGACTAATTGTTTTTAAAAATACAGGATAATTTTCCTCTATTTCAAAAATGTTACTTCGATAATATTTCAAAATTTTCAAAATTCAAAAATATACCACTGAAAACCAAAATAAAAAGACAAACTTTTCTCTAAACTATAACAAAGATAACCAAACTACCAGAAATTTACAAACAAATACTTAAAACCGCACCCCTATATATATAGCAAAAATATACATGATGCAACTCAAAAAAAATTATCATATTGACACATGAATCACAAGACAAATAGAAACACCACAAATATAACAAACAAACAAAACTAGAAAAGATAGACACGCTAAGACAATATTAAACAATCGTACAAGCTCAAATAAAATATTAAATATACATACACATATATATACACATGTATAAATAAATAAATAATAAAAATATAACAAACAAACAAAACCACAAAAAATATAAACAATAAAAAATTAAACCATCATATCTCCTAAAATAAAATACTAAACACACACGCACATATATATATATATATATATATATATATATATATATATATATATATATATATATATATATATATATATATATATATATGCACACATATTACAAAATATATGATATACCTATATCTATATATTAATACAAAATTCACTACAACTTTGAGTACCATAAAATAAGTCGCATAAACATCAAACAATAAATATTTAAAAATTCTACTATAAATTACAATGATTAAACTCTATAATTTTCATGTGCAATCATTTCTATTTCTTATAAAAGAAATTTATACACATCACCTTACTTTCAATAATATCCATTTATAACTAAACTATGAATATAAAATCTCTTAGCTCTCAAAATTAATATTATCCTTTACCTATTCAGATTCTATTAATTAAAAAAATATAGCTTCCATATATTTCAATCACATTCATTCATAACTAAATCAACATCATATTTACTTATCGAAAAAAACCTACTTAATGAATAAACACATATTTTACCAAGCTATAGTATCAAATTATTCCAAATTATTAATTTATCTCATCACACAACACCCAAACTATATCAAATTTGGCCAAAAAAAATCTATTACCCATTTATTTTTCAACAAACTTCCCATTCTTTTATCTCCTTTTCATAGACTTTTCCACTGCAATAATGCACACTTTCTCATCCTAACTATCCAAATTATGAAATATCATCATCCTAAAATACATAAACTACCAACGCCCAAAGTACAATAAATTATAACACTCTCAATGTAATTCTCCACCTAATTTTCCATCCTATCAACTTTAAAAATTTAATATATATTCCATTAATTTAAATAATATTTACTTATCACTAAATTAAAATTTAAAAACAAAATTTTTTGAAATCAATATTATCCATCAAATCTTTAGATCATATTAATTTTAAAAAACACAATATAAATCACATCAATTTTACTATATCTATTTATAAATAAATCAATCCAATATATCACTTCTCTATCCACTATTCCAACTCCATTATCATACAAAATACTCTAAATTTATGTTATTAAATAAATCTTACATCTAAGACACTCAATAATGGGCACTTCCGCGGGTCACCAAGCCTAGTTGTTAATTGGTTGGTCAAAGCTAAATTGATCAACGGGGAAGTGCGTACAAGGAAAGAAGCTAAATTGAGGTCGGACCCTCATCCTGGATCTCTTCTCCTCTTGCATACTACTAATAACTTTTTGTTGTCCACACTCTTGTCTTTATTTTATTGGCTGCCGACAGTTTTATCTTCTTCCTCATTGGTCTGATTGAATTCACCTTATCTTCTTGGAATCTATCTTTTGTATTATCCGAGACCCCTTTTAAATTATACTCCATTTCATTCGGTCATGGTCCATCAAACGGAAACGGGTGTGAGCTGAAGCCAGCCGATGCTGCTGCGTCTGTGTCCTTTTGTCTTGTTTTGAGAAAGTTTACGTACTGTTGAACCATTTCTGGATCCTTCAACGTGTTCTTGAAAAAATCATTTACAGTACCAAATTTTGTTGATATATTTGTTTAGCTGTTGGAAGATTCTTTTTTTAACTTGCTATTGAAAGATTCTTTGAAAGGTCCATTTGAAGCCTCTTTAATATCTCATTTTAACTTTTTTCCACTTTGCAGAAATTTTAGGGATAATTTTAGAAACCTCCCTTGAGGTTTTTGATAATTTTACTTAGCTTCCCTGAAGTTTCAATAATTACATAGATCTTCCTTGATCCAATCAAATGACTAAGATATCCTCCGCTTAATATTTAATTCATAAAAGAACATTTAAAGTCAAAAAATATATCTTATTATTCTACTTGCCATTTCCTAATATCAAAGAATAATTTTCATTAATTTTCTAATTTTCATCTCTTCCTCTCTCCCTCGATCCCTCTTTCATACGTTTCTCTCTTTTCTCCCACAATCGCTTCTTCCTCTCATCAAATATCATACTCCATTGTTAGTAGTCATGCCACTATCAATTTTTTATCAGTTTCAAAATTTATCTGTGCTTTTTTGTTTTTCTGTCTCTTTCTTATTGTAAAAATTTTTTACCCTTTCTTTTTAAAAAAATAATTTTATTCTTTTCAAATGTTAGCTAATTGAAATTATCAAATTAACAAAGTGCAGACTATAGATTTTATTGTCAAACTAGGGAAAGATGAAAAAGGTGGCAGTGATATAGAAAAATAAAATAAAATTGAGAGTTGAAAGATAAAGAAGTGAATATTATGTTTGTTAAGCAAAAAAGTCTAGCAATTAAAAAATTTATTGGTTCTCTCTTTTATTTACCTATTGATTGTGGTTTTATTATAAAGGTAAAATTTTGTCTCTATTTCTAACAGTACTAGAGTAATAATGAATCATGTTCTTTGGGTCATGGGGGCATTTTTTGGTTCAGTATTGGTAGTGGTAGTAGTGAGTTGCATTAGTCAAGAATCAGCAAGTAATGAATTTTGAGATGAGTTGGAGTCACTGAACTATATTTGATTTAGTGAGTATGTCACGTACAAAAAATTAAAGATTAAAATCTTATTTTATTTTGTCTTGTTCTCTAGAAAAGGGGTATTTTAGGATATTTGCGAAAAATATAGGCTATTGGGTTTATCTTGTTACATAACCTTAAAAGTGAGGAAGGTAAGTGTAATTTTTAAAACTTGAGAATAGCTCTCTGTAATTGTTTGAAACCTCAAGGGAGGCTTCTGAAATTATCCTGAAATTTTAACACATTTTCTTGGGAACAGTAGTATTTTAATGAGATTCCTGTCAACCATTGATTTTGAATTCTCCTCACAAATTCAAGGTGCTGGCTAATTTTGTAACTCCAACAAAATATTCAAGAAACCTTGAATTCTAAATGAAATACAATTATATGTATTTCTACTGTTTTATAAGTACGTTATATCCATCCAAGAATTACTAGAAGGCTTTATTTATTGAGGTCAGTGGACACTTGTCCTGTACTAGGTTAATCTCTCCTCCTCTAAGATATTTTTCCTTAAAAAAAAAAAAAGAACCTAGAGTCGCTTTCAGCTTTGTAGTTGCTTATATTACTTGACAAAATGAAGCATTGTGCCAATGAGTTCTGCTAAGTTGTGCTTTTGGAACCAAAATGACTCATTTATAATGAAAATTTAAACGAATTATTGACACGTTAAAAAACGACGCGTTGATAGTGATACGTTCAATAATTTTACATATTAAATCCTTATATTACTTTTTTTTTCGGTAAAAAGTTTCGATAGATTCAATTGATCACCACTGTTGATCAAGACATATTTTTCCTTAAAAAAAAAAAAAAGAAAAGAACCCAAAGTCACTTTCAGCTTTGTAGTTGCTTATATTACTTGACAAAATGAAGCATTGTGCCGATGAGTTCTGCTAACTTGTGCTTTTGGAACCAAAATAACTCATTTATAATGAAAATTTAAATGAATTATTAAACGAATTATTGACATGTTAAAAAATGACGCGTTGATAGTGATACGTTCAATAATTTTACATATTAATACCTTAGATTACTTTTTTTTTTTGTAAAAAGTTTCATAGATTCAACTGATCACCACTATTGATCAAGACATATATTTTTTCTTTTTAAAAAAAAGAACCCAGAGTCGCTTTCGGCTTTGTAGTTGCTTATATTACTTGACAAAATGAAGCATTGTTCCAATGAGTTCTGCTAAATTGTGCTTTTGGAACCAAAATGACTCATTTATAATGAAATTTAAACGAATTATTGACATGTTAAAAAACAACGCGTTGATAGTGATACTTTCAATAATTTTACATATTAAATCCTTAGATTACTTTTTTTTTGTAAAAATTTTGATAGATTCAACTGATCACCATTGTTGATCAAGACATATATCGAATCATAGGTTGCTTATAAGGATTTTTACTTGTCGTCTACCAACACAATGTACACATCGACCGTAGAATTCAAACCCAAGATTTTTTTGTGCTAAAGTGACCCCTTCTTCTAACTGAGTTAACTTGTGTTGGATTAGATTACCTGCAAGATGCATTGACAAATTAATGGGGTAAAGACTTAGATGGAACATAATAAAGTAACATAACATTATTGTTCTTTTTGGTTCTTTTAAAAAAATTGTAACTCATTTTGTAGTCTTCTAAAGTAGTTTCTAACGTAATAGGGGTCTAAAAAATTTGTAATCTTGCATGTGCAGTTGAGAGTAAACTGGAATAGTTTGGGGGAATAATTTCCGTGCTAATTTGTTGATGATACGATGGAGTAGAATCAAAGTCGGCAACTGGTATTGTATAGTGAAATAGACAAATAGTAGTGTAACAATTATTCTTCAAGCTACACGTAACAACTAACAACAGCCTTGTCGTCTACATAGGGCTGCAAACGAACCGAATCGCTCGCGAGTCAAGCTCGACTCAAGCTCGATCAATATCGAGTTCGAGCTGGTTCGAGTCAAAATCGACCTCAAAATATTAAGCTCCGGCTCGCGAGCTAGAATATATATATATATATATATATTTTTTTTATTTTTTTAATTTTAAGTATATATATATATTTTTTATTTTAAGTATATATATATTTTTATTTTAATAGTAAAATTACATATATATATCCTTCATATTTTATTACTTATTAAGAAAAATATTTTATTTTATTTTTTTTAAAAAAAAATAATTATTTTTTATTTTTTTGGAGCTTGAGCTCGAGCTTTAAATTGTCAACTTGTCGAGCTCGCGCTCGAGTTCGAGTTCGAGTTCAATAGAATTAAGTCAAGACTCGACTCGATTAGGACAAAACTCGACTTGACTCAGTTCGTTTGCAGCCCTACGTCTACACAATAAAATTTTTTTTTGACTCAACCAAGAATTATTAGCAATGCACACTAGAATATTCAATTGTGTACAAAGAAAATTTTGAATTAATGTGCTTAATACGCAAAGTTTTAGGTAATTATGTTGTTGTTGACAAACTTTTTCCATAACCACAACAAGGGGCTTCTCTCTCTCCGCAAACCTAATGGTTGCTTCATCCTCCTCAGCGCTATCATCTACGCAACCAACCCCTTGTCATCCGCCTTTTCTGTCTCCATTTCCTCTGCACCTTGGCCTTTCGCACCAAGATTGAAACCCTCAACCCCCAAAAATTACTGCCTCACCAATAAGTTTGGATTAGCTGTTTTTGGAGGTATTTTTAAAAAATTTTACTGTAACAGTTTATATGAAAAATTTTTACTATAAAAATTTTTTAAAATTTTTACTATAAAAATTTTTTAAAATTTTTTATATATTATATGAATGAGATATTTTTTAAATTATTATGTATTACTGTAATATTGTATTTAAAAAACTTATTTTTGAAAAAACGCCCGATCCAAACGGAGCACTGCAAACTGAGCTTGTTTTTGAAGAAGGCCGAAGGAGACTCTGCTGTCTTCAATATTAAATTGTCCACGTGGCAAATTAAATTATGGACCACTCTGCTGTCTGCAGTACTTCCCGTGGTCTACAGGCGAGACCGCAGACCGTACGGACCTACACAAGTTTTTGCCCTATGCAGCTATGCTATAAATCCACATCCTACACCCTTGCTGAGAGCAGAAGAGAACGCAAGATGCTCAATACACTTGAAGCATCGAGCTAGCTCTGCAAAATCCGTCTAGTTGAATTTCATGGATAGCCCAAAGTTGCAAAAACTTCCTGTCATCAACTTCGGCCAGGAGAATTTGCAGCATGGCACAAAAAGCTGGTCCTTGGCACGCAACGAAGTCCGCCACGCTCTTGAAAAGTGCGGTTGCTTTCTTGCTGTGTATGATGCAGTTTCTTTCAAGTTGAGGGATTCAGTATTTTCTGCGCTAGAAAAACTGTTCGATCTTCCCGTGGAAACAAAAAAGAAGAACACTTCTGATACGCTTTTCTTTGGTTATATTTGCGACGACCGTGACCCATCTATTCGTGAGAACATGGGAATCGAAAATTCAACCGACATAGAAGAAGTCAAGAAATTCTCTAAGCTCATGTGGCCCCAAGGAAATGATGACAATTTCAGGTACAACTTGATTTATTTATCCTCATCTCATCAATTCTTGCTAGTAAATCCAACAATTAATTAGCGCGCAATGTATTGAAATGATCCCAAGTGCATTGAACCTTCAATTTGTTTCCTTTTATGAATAATTGTTAGTGGGATCATCCATGAATGTGCAAATCTGTTGTCGGAGTTGGAACAAGTGGTGATTAGAATGGTTTTCGAAAGCTATGGGGTAGAGAAGCTGAAGTGTGATTCTCACATAGATTCAATCGTGTACGTGCTTCGGTTCAACAACTACAAGGCGCCTGGAGTAGACGAGAGAACCGTGATTGCTCCCCCTCATACTGATAAGTGCCTCATCTCAATTCTTGCTCCGAGTCAAGTTAACGGATTGGAGGTAAACTTGAAGGATGAGCAGTGGATCCCTGTTGACTTCTTGCCTTCATCATTCGTTGTTATGGCAGGAGATGCATTAATGGTAGGTTACATCCTCTGCCTTTTCTTAAATTTATTAATAACTAAAAGTTGGAATTTTTACCACTCGCGTGACTTTTAAGGTATCAGTAGTGTTCATGGTTTCTCATCGAATTCCAACAACTAGTGGTAAATGGTAAGGGTTTCACATGAATTAATACTGCTTGATTTGTAAATGGTAAGTTGAAGTTTGATATAGTTGTTCCTTTTCTCAAATCTATATATATATATATTTTTTGTCTCTAGAAAGCGTTTTTATTTTTTTTTTAAAACAAAAATCTAGATAATCAATCTAGTTTGGCAGGCATGGAGCAACGACAGAATACGACCTTGTCTTCATCGAGTTCAAATGAACGCGAACGCAAGAAGATCCTCAGTGTTGATGTCCTCTTACCACAAGGGGGTCGTGCACATTCCTCAGGAGTTGATTGATGATCAGGAAAATCCACAGCGCTATAAGCCATTTGATCACCTGGAATACCATAATTTCTTAAAGAAAGAATTGGAAACTGGGCAGCACGTTCAGTGTGACGCCATCAAGAGATATTGTGGTGTTTGAATTGAAGTACCATGATCCTTTAAGAGGGGTGGATCTCTTGTATTGTGCATATGGCTGCGGATCATGATAAAGCATGCATATCCATCTTAGCTAAACCATCCAACAATCATTTTCTCCTCTTCATTAACCTTCCAGTATTTGAATACCAGATGTCAATTTCCCTTCAGATCAAGAGAATCTTTCAGTACAAGTAAATTATATTCGCCCTTAATAAGCCACTAATTCTAGTCCATTAATGGTGAGGCGAACTCTTTTCAGCTTCATTTCTTTCTAAAAATAATACATTTATGTACTGCGTGACGGATTCTTAATTCTTGAGTCCAAGCTTTTTTGTCTTCTTATTTGTCGAGATGGATGAAAAGCTTTTTGTCTTCTTTTGAGTCCGATGTATATTCTTCTCCCCCATTGTGCCCTCGTTTTTGTAGAAGATGTTAGGGGAGTAGCTTCCTCCAGGAAGAAATAATTTATTTTAATGCACTATTTTTTTATACCAAGAAGAAATAAATAAATCAATTTTCATTCTGGCAGAAGAAAGAAATTCAATGTGCGTTGGTTGGGTGCAAGAAACTGATTGCAGTCTGAACAGGGCCTAAATTACAAGCAAGCGCCTAGAGACGCAGTCCAAAGTCCACGTGGCTATGACTTTTGGATCAGTGATAGACTGCCACAGTTGTAATCTTTTGTGTCAAGCACTATTCTCAATTTAGGCCCGATTCAAAGTTGGGAGAACTAGTCTGTCTATGCATCTGCGTTGTAACTTTTACCCCCTTTTCTCAGGCTTTATGGCCAGCCCCTTTAGCTAGAAAAGAGGCATACCCATTGCAATAAAACATTTGTAAATTAATACTTGATAAATTAATAACTATTGGTGTTGAAAATCATTATCATTTTTGGCCCGATTTAAGTTGGGAGACCTATTCAGTCTATTTGATCTCTGTTGTTTTACTCGCTTTCTTAGGCCCAATGGCCGGTCCCTTTAGCTAGAAAAGGGGCATACCCATTGCACTAAAATCTCTATACATTAATAATCTTTATCAAATAGTAATTTTTTCGGTCCTAACTTGAACTAAATTAATAAATCGGATGAAATGATAAGATAATTTTTTTTGAAAACCTTACATAATCCTTTGGTCCCATTTATATCATAAATTAATAATTCACTAAAATTACCTATCATATTTTCTTAAAATGAGTTCCTTAAAAATTAGATCTACCGGAATCTCATTTCTAATTTTTCTTATCAGATCTAAAAGTTTTGAGATTTTTTTAGTATAAGTGGGAAGTTTCGAACCCGTAACTTCTCACTTATATGCTCTCCCCCGTACAATTCAACCTATCCCTCCTCTTAAAAATTTTGGACTCGAATTCTCGTTTTACATTAAAAAATTATGAAGAGTTACTTATGCTTTGATAGTTTGATATGAGTTAAGTAGGTACATTGAAGACATTAATATAATAATCTGAATGGCCCTCAAAATAGGTATAATCATTCAAAACGTATCTCACATTTTGTAAAATGACTTTTTTCGTCCCCTATTTTTAAAAGTATAATTTTACGTCCCTTACAAATTTACATTGGTCAAATTTGGTCCCTATATAAGTTTCCGACTAGTTTTTTGTCAGAATTTATCACGTGCCTTGCATGTGATCATTTTTTAAGGGCAAAATTGTCAAATTAAACTTTATATAATCCGATCTATAGTCCCTTACATTTTACAAAATGAATTGTTTCGTTCCTCATATTCCACAAAATGAATTTTTTCATCCCTCATTGACCATGTGTACGAATAATTTTTTTTTAAATCCATGAATATATCTATTTAATTTCACCTGAACAATACGAATAACATGTAATATATCTCTATTTCATTTCACCTAAACTAACTAATTGTAGTTGTACATATGCTATTCAATAGATATATACATGGGTTTAAATCTAACAATTTTGTTTTAAACCTATATCTATTTGATTTTGTCATATGAATCTATTCAATATTTGTAGCCTTTTCTTTTTTAGTAATAATTCATTTATTGAGTTGTGTAATAAGATCATCTAATTAATCGGTTCTAATTCGAATTCTATAATCATGCTAACAAAATGCAGTTTAAATCTGAAATTTCTACTCACCACCTTTAAGACCAACAATTGAATTTCTTTTCTTGTGATTGTTTTAAAATTTGAAAGTGTCAATCACTTACTTCTTTTTGTCATACTTTTTCTTTGTTTATTTTTTATGCCCAAATTTAATTCGATATATACACTTACTAATGTTTAGAATTAAATGTCTTTTTTATTTTCAATTTTTGAGTAAAAGAAAATGAACATGAGTGAAAAACTAACAATTCTTTTTAAATTTCTATATATATCTATTTAATTTCACCTAAACAGTATGTTCAGACGAAATCAAATAGAAATATATTACATGCTATTTGTATTGTTCAGGTGAAATCAAATAAATATATATATGAGTTGAAAACAAAAAATTTATTCATACACATGATTAATGAGGGGTGAAAAATTTATTTTGTAAAATATGATGAATGAAGCAATTCATTTTGTGAAATGTGAGAAAAGAAAAAAATTATTTTGCGAAATGTGAGAGACTATGGATCAAATTACAATTTTACTCTTCAAACATGATAACGTGCAAGGCATGTGGTGGATTCCGACCAAAAATTAGTCGGAAACTTTGGCAGGGACCAAATTTGATTAATGTGAATTTGTAAGGGACGTAAAAGTACACTTTAAAAAATGAGAAATGAAAAAAGTTATGTTGCAAAATATGAGGGACGTTTTGAACGATTTTCCCCTCAAAATATATAGTTGATTAACCTTTAACCTCCAATTATTAACCTTTAACCTCCAATTATTAAGTACATACATTTATCCCTCGAACTTGTAAAACGGGTATACTTTTTACACTTTTGGCTAGTGATAATTTCAAAAACCTCCCCTAAAGTTTGTGGTAATATTATTCGACACTCTTAAAATTTCAAAAATATCACTTAACTCCTATAGCGGGGAGATGAGATTGTTAATCACTATCATAGCATACAAATTGATAAAATTGTCTTCACTACTTTAACAATTTTTAGACAAAACATTATAGAAGAAAAATTTTTTAGGCAAAACATGTAAATCTTATATCACAGTCAATTTGGTAAAAAATTCAATGTAAGACAATACAAAACGGTAGAATTTGGAGAAAAATATCTCTCTCTCATTAAGTGATTATTTTAAGAATTTTTTAATAATATGAGGGTGAGATTGTTGCAATGGTATAGTTTTATGGCACGTTAGTGATATTTTTGAAACTTTAGAGATCCTAAATGATATTAACATAAATTTCAAGAGAGGTTTCTAAAATTATCTCTAGCCAAAGGGGTGGGAATATAGGAGCAAAGATATGTACTTAATAGTTAGAGAGTTAAAAGTTGACTAACTTAATGTTTGATGACCATCCAGATTTTTTACGCGATTAAATTATACTTACAAATCAAGTAAAATGATGGATTAATTTATAATCCTCAGACTTTAAACTCCATTTATGAATAAAACAATTTATATTTTTATAAACTAAAATAAAATTTAGTTGCTTAAATGAATGTTTCTTTGAATTGTAAGTACACTCGACAGATTAATAAATTTATTAATTTATTGATTATTTAATACCTCTTTAAATTAATAATAATTTATTGATTATTTAATACCTCTTTAAATTAATAATCTTGGAACATTAAATTATTTAATACCTCTTTAAATTGATCTTTAAATTAATAAAATTTATGGTTCCAAGATTATTAGTTTATAAAAATTTTACTGTACATCCGAATCCACTGGTGCCTATATTTTAAGTTTACAACATAAAAATCATCAGCTTTGAATCATATATTACAGAGTAGAAAAGTACGTTGAAGTACCTACTAAAAGTCGTATTTTTTCTATCATAAATGCAATATTTTAATTTGAAAACATATATTTTAATAATTTAAAGATAATATGGAACACATTTAGGATATGTTAGCTTAATTATGTCGAGAGTGAGAGAGATCAAAAATCAAGATTCGTGTTCGAAACAAAAGAAAAATAATAATTGTTGTGCCACGATTTTTTTTCCCTTTGTATTAAGTATGGAAAGAGAGGGTAGAATAATATGCATTTCTACTTATATCCAAGAATTACTAGAAGGCCTTATTTATGGAGGTCCACGGACCCCTGCCTTGGAATAGGCTAATCTTTTCTCCTTCAATATATATTAGCATCCACGAGGATCATTAGTGGGAAAAAAGTGAACGAGTTTTACCTATTAAGTGTGTCTAGGAAGACTTAAGAAAACATCAGTCATCTTTAATCGTAAATCAATTACTTCCACTTCTTTGTTAAAATTCTGACCATGCAACTGGAAATCAATTCGGAACAAGATGAATGATGCAAAATCTTGAACAAATGGATTTTTTTTTTTGTCGAAACGATAGAATTCTTATAACTTAAGCTAGCCTATTCTAGGAGGAGGGGGAGGGGACTCGATGTGAGTAGAAACACCATCGAAACTGGTCAATGAAAACCGTCACATATTGTGACAAATTTTTGTGGGAGGTCAAGAAGGCTTGGGATGACCACTGGACCAAAGGCCAGTGGCTTGAACAATTGGATTGATTAACTTGTTTATTTAATTGAAGTCGTGCACCTTTTGTCCATTTACAGTTTCTTTTTTTTTTTGCCCTTTTCCCTGAGGCGTGGTGCACGTGCATCAAGGCATTTGCTTTCGGAAAGCTCAGATGAGCATCATGCATTTTCTATTTCTCGGAAAAAAAGAATTGTGTTTAGATAGTGAATTAGTTGAGATAATTTTCTGAAAAGAATATTATAATACTATTTTGATGTAATATATGTGGGATAAAAATATGGTTAAAAAATCTATTGATGATACAGATAAATAAAATTTGACAAATAATCTACTACCAAAACAAAAGTATTTGGAGGTTGATGCAACTGATGAGATATTTTTTTCCAATCTCAGATAGAAATAGTTCAGCATCAATTATCTAAACTCACCAATTGCCTCCTCCAACTTGAAAATACAACTTAGGGATAATTTTAGAAACCTCCCTTGAGATTTCTGATAATTTCACTGAGCTCTCCTGACATTTGAAAAATTACACTTACCTCCCTTGATTGATAGTTTTAGTAACAAAATTTTAAAATAATATTGACTTGGTCAATTTTTAAAATGAATACTCAAATTGCCCTTGTATAATGAGTTTTAATTTATTTTTCTATACAAGGAAAATGTGCCAAATTTTTCATGTTCATACCTACTATTTGATAAATAACTATAATAATAATTTTATCACTATGATAGGATACTTTTGATGGTAC